AGTGGAAGGTATTGCATGAAAAAAAAAAATGGCAAACGTTCATTTTCTTCATTTGGTTAATTTCACAGAATTCTGTCCGTTTTACATACGCTACTACTTTGTTTCAAGTGTGGGAATTTGTCAAAATCGGATTCCGGGTATTGGCCTTTTTAACCTATCGTGATCGCGTCCCTTTTTGTCCTGGCTTTGTCTCGCTTATTTATCTTCTCTGGATGTTTCATGATAAGAAATTAACCCCTTTATAGTTACATTCCTGGACCAAAGTACAAATGCGTTTGACAAGAGAGATGAGTTGAAATAGGGTTTGGTTGTGAAGCGTCTTTAGCCGTCTTTCAGCCAAGGTTCAGTCAAGTAACCATTTAATCAGGAATTTTTTTCGGTTCATCGAATTCTCGATAGTGTCAAATTGTCACTACCCTATATCACTCAAGGGGATCATTTCATACTGTCCAGAAGCCCAGCGCGTTCGAGGTTGCCTTCATCTATCTTTTTCTGAAAAGACTTTTTATTTCCGTGCAGATCAGTTTTGCACACTGGAGTAAATTAGTAAGTTAAAGGGAAGGATAGACTTCAAAAATTCAGAATACTCATAAAAAGCATTGAAAAAAATTGTTGTAAGGTACTTCCTGAAAATGTTTCTCATTAGAGCCCGATGATCTCCAAGGGTAAAGATCAGAATTCAGATTCCAATAATTCTGAAAACGATCGCCGGATACACCAAAAATGTAAGCCAGCGCCCTGAGTTAGATTTTCAGAAGTTGTAGAAATTAATCACAGCGATGCATGAACATTGGGAAAACGCTAAGAAAAGAAAGGCCCAGGTTAATAAAATTGCCCTACGGAAATGTGATGTGCGTTCTCAGTTTTTTTTATTTTTTTTTTATTTTATTTATTTATTTTTTTAGCCAAAGTTGTTGGGTAATTTTGGAAAACTAATGAAGCTGAATAGAAAAAGATCAGAGGGCTCTATAACGTACTGTATAGGAATTATAATTATGTATCCTTTAGAACTTTTAATAATGAAAAGCAGATTGAGGTAGCCACCTTGTCTCTCACACTTATGCATTCGTTTTATTCGTTAGTGATGTGATGTGCGTTTTCTCTGCGGAGACCCTTTTTTTAGCTTTTAGCACAAAAACCATTGAATTGCAGTGTGCGGTGTAAAACAATTCTATCCTTAAAAAAAAACAAAACAAAACAAAAAAACAAAAAAACAAAAAAAAAAGCTTAAACAGAGTTAGTAATCACCTCTCCAACTCTGGTTTATACTTTTGTGGTAATTCCATAGTCGAGTAGAACAGGATCGCAAATTGACACATTTAGCGTGCTCTACTAGCTTTATGACTAAATTAGTTAACTGTAACGCTTCTTTTGATGTTTTCTTCACGGACGACGAGATGGCGAGGTGCTACACGCCAGGAACTAAAGGTAAAGAAAATGAGGAATTCGAAAATGAAGGAAAAAACTCAAACACAGTTTTAAATGATGGACAATAAGTCGAGATATTCCTTCATGGCGAATTAGTTGCATTGGATATTAAGTATCGTATATCGGCCGGGCGTATCGGTGAGCTAAAAAGCCTTAAAGCTTAGGACGTACTTCTTGTACAAATCGAAAGCAACTTTAACTTTAAGAGGCGTGTTATAAAATTGGCGCGGTCTCTGTGCTATATTGTGCAAAGTTGCAAGCATTTATTTACTGACCACCTTCTTCTAACAAAGCTGACGACATGAGCATTGAAGCGAGCATCGAAAGGGTTCATTTATGAAATAAACTTTGATTGTTTCCGATATCAACATCGACTTCAGAGAGAAACTGGGCTATGGTAAACATCGCCTTGCAAAAGGACTTCGTAATTTGCATTCCAAACAGCTTGTAGATTTCATTACACGTGTGATCCGTGTAACTATCATCCAATTTCAGTGTTACCGGTTTTGTCTAGAGTCATTGAGCGCCATGTGCACAATACGTTATGCACTTTTCTCTGCGATAATAACTTGATTTTTTCAAGGCAGTCCGGTTTTCGAAAAAACCTCAGAACTGAAACTGCCCTCATCAGGATAATCGATGACCTATTTAATTTGGACAAGGACAGGGTCTCTGGAGTGGTGCTTATTGACTATTGCAAAGCATTTTATATTGTCGACCATGAACTATTACTGAAGAAACTGGAGGCATATGGCATCGTTAATACGGAGCTTAAATGGTGTCGGTCTTATTTGAATGGAAGGAAGCAATTAGTTCACCTGAGTGGAAAGGAGTCAAGTAAGGCGCCGATGAAACATGGAATTCCTCAGGGAAGTATTTTAGGTCCACTATTCTTCATACTACAGTCGAACCTCGATTATCCGAACCTCGATTATCCGGACTACTCGATTATCCGGACTTTGTTCTCTGGTCCCAATTTTTTCATGAGTATTAATTAGTTGTGATCTTGAAAACTCAAAGTCGCAAAAAGCCCAATAATACTTTCAAAAGATTGTTAAAACAGCGTATTATCAAAATTTGAAAGTGCGACGAGACAAAGAAATATTCTGATGCGTTCAGCTGATATGATTGGCTCAATTGTTTTGTTGCAAAGTGAATTTCATGCTTCATTAGTTCCTTCCGCGAGGGTTATGTAAAATCAAAAACATGTCAAATCAAACAACCAATCAAAAACATGTCTACGAAGCGAAAGCGAGCCGTTCTATCGATTAAAGATAAGTAGATAATTATTTCACGTTTGGATAAAGGAGAGAAAGGAACAAATTTAGCTCAAGAATTTGGCATCAGCAAGTAGCAGATCTCAGACGTATGTGAGAACAAAAACAAGATCCTAAAATTTATTTACAGCATCGAGACAAGCGAAGGATTAATTTAAAACGAATCATTAATATTCATATTTTCGATTATCCGGACTATTTACCGAGGTCCCGACGAGTCCGGATAATCGAGGTTCGACTGTATTCAACAACGATCCACCAGTGCATGTCAGTTCACAAGTAGACCTCTATGCTGATGATTACTTGAACTTAAAATTTCACTAAATATCTCCGCAAATGAAATATGTCACTGGGCCAACTCAAATAAACTCCCAATCAACAAGTCAAAGGCTAAAGTCTTAACGATCACCAGAAAGTGCCTGGTGTCTAACATCAATGATGAACTTGTTGTCCACTCCAACTTGTTGTCGCAACACGCAATTGCACGTCTGACTGTGAGATGCGTGTAATTTACACGAAATCAGGCAATTACAATTCATTAAATGTTTTAACTGAGACAATTAGAAGGAAAATTATTTGTAACATTTTTGACGAGCATCAGCCAGTAATATAACTGCACTTTGTTGGGTTTCTTATTAATGAAAATGCGAGTGTAAAGGTGGCTGGTACCAGTTTCCTCGCGGGGGAGTTGGTCACTCTCATGCGTCGCGCGCGAGAGAAACGCGCGAAGGAAGCGCGAGATTTGAAAGGCGAAAAATTCAAAACAAACATGGCGGCGCGAGGCTTTCTTCGGTCTACGTATTTCTTGTCTTATTTTGTAAGAAGTTTGCAACCAGAGTGTATTTGATGTATTCAACGGCCACTACGTATGCAGGAGACAGAAACGAAAATAAAGAAGATGATTCTCGGCGACACAAAGGTTGCTTCGCATCGAAACGAAAAATCCAATCGATACGAAATCTCGTGACAGCAAAAAAAGAGAGAACTCAAGTGAAAGAAAATCTGCCAGAAGAAGAGAAAGACTGCGAACCTCCAAGGAAAATAAAACGAGGTCACAACAGGTAAGTTATGTGTTACATCGCTGTTGCATTTTGGCTGGTTCGACTGAGATTTGTTACGTTTTCTTCTTTCCTTTTCTTCTTTTTATTCTTGATAATCAAATACCCGAAATCAAATAGCTAAGCAAAAATTTTTATCATTACAGCACACTTAATATGAGGTTGATATTTGTGGTACAAGACTGATTGAACTTCCAGTTCTTCGAAATGAGTTGAAATCTTGCTCAAGCTGCAAAAGAGGTAAGCTCCTGTAGGAGCCTTAAGAAATATTTTTCTCAAAAAGAAAAAAAGGGGGCACACAAAACAAAATAAGTCGGTAAAAATAATAGATCTTTTTATAAATCTCATATGAGTATATTAAAATATTTGTCTCTGGTATTGTTGTGTAAGGTGGGTAAAATAATTTTTAGGTAAAATAAAATATTTTAAAATATTACTAGTATTAACACAGTGCAGGAAACTTTTTTTAGCTATTGAGTATGGGCATTTAGACAGGCTCAAATATGACTTTTCTTGCTGGTCAAATTTCAGAGTACAATATCTTACCTCCTGTCATCTTGAACTTTCACTTTCTTAAATTGTTTGCTTTCCTCAAACTATTTGCTTCTATGCATAAATAAATGACTTTGATCACTAGGCCATTTATTGCACCCACAGGTCCATTATCCCTTACAAACATTATGGAAGAAAAACAAAGTGGTCTCAGTAGTATCTTCAGCATCAAATGCAGCTTCTGTAGTCAAGTAAATGAAGTAAAATCCTCTGCTGAACACAGAGCTGGAAGCCGTGGTCCTCTTGTTAACGATATCAACACAAGGGCAGTATTGGGATCCCTCCATGCTGGCATGGGGAATACCCACCTAAATAATTTACTCTCTAGAATGTACCAACAAAGAATCTTAACCTGTTTAAAAGAAGGGAAAGAGAAGTTGGAAATGCCCTAGAGAAGGTTGCTACAGACAGCTGTAAATTTAAATTAAATTTAGAAAAAAAAATTGCCAAGAAATCTTCTGGTCTATCTGCAGACCATCTCCCTGGAGTAGCTGTCTCCTATGATATGGGTTGGCAAAAAAAGGGGAAGGGGACACAACTCTGCAACTGCCATGGGTCTCGCTGCTGGAAAAGTTGTGAGTTATTCCACAAGATGCACGATGTGTCGAGTATGTAGCCATAACAAATTAACTGGGAAAGAAAAAAAGCATGATTGTTGAAATAATCACTATGGTCATCAAAATTAATGGAAAGAGATGTTGCTTGTGAACTGTGGAGAAAAGCTCCTCAATCTGGAGTCAAATTTTCAATTTATGTAGGGGATGATGACTCAACAACCCTTGCAGACATAAAAAACAAAGTCTCTTATGGTGTTGAGAAATGGTCCGATGTTGGTCATGCCAAGAAATCCCTCAATACCAGATTATACAATCTTAAGAGACTGCTTCAAAGGATTGAATTGCTCAATTCTCAGTTCAAAGGTTATAAATTACATCACTGAGTGCTTCAGTTTTTGTGTCAGCCAAATGTGGGAGATCCTGAATCTTTAAAGCAAGGTCTCAAAAACATTATTCCCCATGCCTTTGGGGAGCATACTTGTTGTAATGTTTCATGGTGTGGTTTCAAGCAAAACCCTGTTGCCTCCAAATATACAGACTTGCCAAATGGCAAAGATCTCTTTGGAGATTCCCTAAAAATAGCCTTAAGTGACATTCTGGACGAATATTCTACTGACATTGTAGTGAACAAACTGACCCCACATGCTAATTCACAGAGAAATGAAAGTCTTAATAGCACCATTGGTTCTTAGAACTCCAAAACTCGTTTTTATGGAGGCAGTGAAAGAAATGATTTTTGAGTAGCATGTGGGGTGGCACAAACCAATATTGGATACAACCACATTGGAAAAACATTAGAGATTCTTAATATTGAGCTTGGTTCTCTCTATGAAAGACATGCTAAAGCAATGGACAAGAAGGTTTTTTATGACAAACAACAAAAAGAAAAAAAGAAATTCAAGAGAAGGCATAACCAGTTATCTTAACAAAAAACCTTGCAAACACTCAGGAGGGAAGTCAGTGAAGGGGTCACCTATGAGTCTTCAGCAGGTCTAGATTTGGACCCAACAAATCATCAAACAGTGTCACAAAATGTATTTGAAATGCCTACAGAAATATCACTCACTGAGCTAAAAGGATAAATGAAGAAATAACACCACCCTACACTATAAGGCCAAAGATTGTGCACTTACAATATGATTCAAAACAGAAATATCAATTCGTTATATTTGACACATAAACGACTTGCACAGGGAAGCTAGCTGAGATGTGCAAACTGTCTGCTGTAAGTGGAAATGGGAAACATGAATTCTCCATTTTCATTCTCCCAAAAGCAACATAAGTTACAGTGCCTACCTTGTCAATGGCCTGACCATAAAGACCATAAAAGGATTAAGGACATTGTGCCAAGGAAACATTCCTGTCGAAAGTATAACCATAGAGGAAGCACTTGGTGACTTCCTGACTCTTATAACTAAAGTCAAGTCTTCTGAGCGACATGAAAATCAAATAACTGTTTTAATTGGTCATAATTCGGCAACGTTCGATGTCCCTACTCTCCTAAGAAATAGTGATGAAAACTTCAAGGATGGCATTACTGACATAAATGTTTACTTTGCGGATAGTCTACATCTGATGAAAAAACTGATTAAAAACAAACATAAAGCACTTGAGCTCGATTCTAGTGGATACTGCAAACCAAACCAAACCAAAGCAACTTTTACAACCATTTGTTCAAGGAACAATTTGACGCCCATGATGCTTTAGAAAATGTCAGGGCGCTGAGAAAAATTCTTTTTGGATCGTCATTAAGCCTCTCCAGGAAAAACATCGTTGAGAATTCCAGTATCATCAGTGCTCCCCACGTAGTGGCAAACATGCTCTACCTAGATCAACGCCACGAACTTCTTCTAACATTCAGTGACAACTTGTTCAACGTAACCGTAACCGGACCAATTAAAAGATCAATGGCACAAAACGTCGCTGACAGTGATCTCTCTTACGATGACCTTCACAAACTGTACACAAGGTTACAAGGTTTGGTAGAAGAGGACTAGTCGCCATATTGTCTAATCCACCAACAACTTCATCGGCGAAGACAGCACGAGTCACACGGACGAAGAGGATATTGGCCGCCATAGTTAGACACTTCGAAGAAACCAGGAACGAAGAATAAGGAGAGATGCCCGAAAAAATCTCAGGCATAACGTTTTACCTATTGGAAGACTCACAATCTCTAAACAAACATTCCGATCGAAGCGCCAACCAACACGTGTTTTCCATTTCAAACTTTCGCTCGTTGTTTTTCAATAAAAATATGGCTAATATAGTCAGAAGCTGGAAGTATATCGTTCAAGGTGGGCCCGGAAGGCTGTTTTTAACGGCTGCTGAATGACTTTCTGAGCAGTAAACATTTCTAAACATCAGATCGGATGCAGTAGGAGCTCGCGCGAGCACACGCAATTGTCAGCGGTAGCCGTAACAGATCATGAACAACTGTCGTTATAATGATCCGGATTTTTAAATGCGCGAGAACGCGCGTGGAAATTGCTAGACTCACGAAAGCTTTTGCATGAAAAAAAATTCCGGTGACCCCTTCTTTTTAATGTTGCAACATAATAATAACATTGAAAGGAATCATCAGAAAAATATTAGGAAATTCTACGGAAGGACATTTGCGATGCGTGAAAATTGCCTTTTTCTAAATTCTCTGAAATTCCGCTCCGTATAATTTTTTTTAAAGTCTTTGTGCATTTTCCTTTTCAAGTGCCAAAAGCGGTCACTAAGAAAAATCACGGGGTCGCCGAGTTAGTTTTAAAATTATTTGAGCCATAAGCTAAAATAGGCGTCTGAATAATCCTATAAAAGTGTTGCCATGGAAACTGCTGGTGACGAAATAACACCTATTTTTGGATAACCAATGGTTAAATACTTCAACCCTGTAAAAGTGTTCAACTGGCCTTGGTTAGTCTTTTTGTTATATTTTTTCAAAGCTACAAACCATCAAAAAGATGAAAACTGGTACTAGCCACCTTAACTTGCACTGCTTCCGCTTTTCTTCAAACAGTTTCTTCCGATTGCCACGAGTTCACTTGAAGTTTTGAATTTAATGATTGTTCGGAAGCGATAACGAAAATTTCCTTAAAAAGCAGGCACGTTTAATCGGTTAAAAGACGGTAAAACTGAAAAAAAAATGCGACTAAAACTGAAAAACACACGCGAGAAATCGTACGCGTAACTTGCGTACGAACTGGTAAAATTTAAATGTCTCAGCGTGCGCGCGCGCTAACCGCACGACACGCCATTCCCGTACTATCTTCTTAGCATTTTCCCCCTCCCAACACTGGGAGGTAGTCCTAGTGTGTTCCTAAATAAGGAATTAAAAATTGATTCCAAGTAGAATCAGTTTATTAATTCGTCTCACGACAGTTTTGACGCCACACGCAACTTTAGCAACACGGGTGTGGCCATCATGTCCAGGATACACTTCGGCAATTCGTCCTAACCGTCAACGTCCTCTTGGAGTATCGGGCTGAATCACAAGAACTACATCTCCAACTTTTAGGTCTCGGAATTCTGAAGTCCACTTCGGTCGGCTGTTAAGGGCAGGAATACATTCCTTGAGCCATCTCCTCCACACTCGTGAAATAATGCCCCGGAGCTTTCGCCATCGTTGACGCGGAGGCAAAGGAGTGGTTTCAACGGAGTCAGGCACGAACTGTCCCCCCATTTGGCCCTGCAAGAAATGGTTAGGGGTTAGTGGAACATCTTCTCGTGGATCTGAACTCTGATAAGTCAACGGACGGGAAATTAAGAAGGGATTCTACCCCAGCGAACACAATGATCAGCTCCTCATCGTTTACATGTTTACACCAGTTTCTTCCGATTGCCACGTGTTCACTTGAAGTTTTGAATTTAATGATCATAGAATGGAGTTTTTGAAGTAAAAGCAAACCAAATTTGTAAAGTGCTCCCCCCATCACAATCATTAAACAAATCGCACAGTATTGTGAGTCGCCAGGCTTCCCGTTTCATTGGTATGCATCACTTGCAGTTACTTAGCATACTTTTAATATCAGACTAAGCGTGCCAAACCACAATTCTCTAATTGTACTAAGCGTTTAAATATCTTTTCAAAGTTTGCAATCGAAAAACTCTGACAGACATTTCCAGGACAGAAAAGATCAGCCATACAAGGAGGAAAACAGAATCCTCTCGCCTCTCCAATGGGAAAACAACGAGAAAACTATATCTATAACAACAACATAAACAGCACGACAAGACGTTGAATGATCACCTAAATTATCGCTTTATTTTTCTACTTGGCGTCGTTGAGTACTTAACATGTTGTAGTCATCTAATCTTTTAATAAATTTCAAAATTAAGTCGCGGAAGCCTGAACGGTAAGCTTTTAAAAATGTACCTAGTTTTGGATAACCTTGACCGATCTCTAATTAGTAGAAAAATAAACGTTTTAGTCGCTCATCGATACACTTAAAAATAATTTTTTTGATAGCTTAAATACCCAACCTCAATGAATTTATGCTACATTCTATTTCTGTGGGACTTGTGAGACATCCAGCCAGAGGAGATACCACCAGGTGTCAACACTAGCAATACCAAATTGGCCGAATTGTAAAAAAATGAAATCACAATTCCAGGTTTATGCGTAGAGAATGTTTTCATTTCTATTTCTGTTGAAACAAAATTCTGTTGAGAGACTTTTTGCACATTCCCAATTCCCCATTCCCGCTTTTAACAACATCCACCTTTCTACGGATCACCGCTGACAGGCAAAACAGTGTATGACTGGATAACAGCCCTTACAGGCGTGAAGTGGAAACAAACGCCGACAACTCGAGAAATTTCAAGTCCCTGTAGGGATTTTCCCTGCTCAAAAGTATAGAAATCTGGAAACAAGTTTGCTTTTTTTTTTGTTTGTTTTTTTTTTCTATTTCGAACGATGTTTGATCAACACTTTAGGTGTATTGAGTTCACTGATTTACTAAATTTTTGTCTATTAGGGACTTCAAAAAACTTTTAAATATTGTTTAGACTCATTCCCAGTTTAGTTTATCCAACCAAATAAAAAAAAAAAAAAAAAACCAGTCAAATGAACAACTCGAAATCATGTGTTGTTCAGAATCACAAAAAATGACTTATTATCCTAAAGTCACGGTTCTGAAGTTTACCTGAAATCCGATCTCAATTGTCGTATATGTCAAGACTAGTCAGAGGAATACAATCTACCTCTTTTTTGTTGTTTGGTTTCCGAGTCCGAGTTATAATTTGAGTTTGACTTCGAGTTGTACTTTTAACGCTAAAAAGAAAATAATAATAATGATAAAAAATTACCAATGGGCCTACGTGGAATTGAAGAAATAGTTATTTCTTCATGACAAGGGTGTCAAAAAACCTCTGACGTTGAAAACTTGCCTCTCGCCATTTACAAAATTTGTATGCAAATTTCTTTAAGTTGAAAAGTGACCTTGTTATTAAGAGAGGAAGAGAAAAAACCAGGTCAGGGATAATTTGAGAATGACAGTGTTGGACATAAAGAAACCGTAGCACTCTTTTAACTTTACTATTTAAGCGTAGATCTTTACAACAATAACCAGGTTTGATGGCTTGAAGAACTTATCAAATTTAAGGGCAGGGAGTACTATTTGGATCAACGTACTAAAAATGCTTTTCAGTAGCAAAATTCACTGCATAATAGTTACTTAGAGCTACAAATCGCACAATGTGGTGTGTCGCCGGATTTCCCGTTTCAGTGGTATGCAGTTACTTCCAGTTTTTCAGTACTCGAAATTAAGAATGCCAGACCATAATTCTATAAATGTACATGTACAAAGAGTCCAAATATCTCCCGAAGTTTGAATAAAACACCCAGGTAGACATTTTCAGCACAGAAAGACATCAGCCATATAAGGCGGGAAAATAAAATCCCCTCGCTTCTCCTGAGGGAAAAGCGACAACCAACCAATAATCACAACAAGAGTAAAACAATCGAACATCACACACTACTTCAGGGGTCTCTACTTAATTCAAAACCTCGACACAAATTATTAACTATAGAAAAATAAAAATTAAACAAAAAAACATAAAATTTAAAAAAGGAAAGAGAAAGAACACATTTTCACACAACCATAAAACCAAACGAACTTAATATTGAAGAGCTGATGTATCGAGCAAAGGAATGGAGTTGCATTACTGCAGCAAGAGTTTAAACGTGTGATGTTAGAATTATCATTAAATTAGTTTTAAAATTGTTTTGAGGTAGCCTAAACAGTGAGCATTTGAAAAATCACCTAGGTTTTTACAACCTCTTCTAACTCGCAGTCAAATATATAAGCGGTTTAGTTTCTCGTCGGATACGCTATAAGAATTATTTTACGCTAAACCTCAATGGTATTTTGCTACATTTTTATTATATGGGATTTGGAAGACAACCAGCTGGAGAAGATACCACCTGGAGTCTACAATAGCAATACTGAGTCGGCCGAATTATAAAAAAATCAAAGCATAAGTTCATGTTTGATACTTAAAGAATGTATTCGTCTCTATTCGTGTTCAAACACCACTTGCACATAATTTTGTCAATCACCGAATGTGAGTGAAATTGTACTCACACCGGTTGTCGTCAGTCTTGAGGCTAATTGATTTCCGGAATAAGGTTAAGGTTGCCGTATTTTTTGTTTAAGATGTAATTATTTATCAAATCTTGAGAAACCAGTTTCTCAAGGAAACACTTATTTTGTAGGTCG